TCTCTCCAGCTTCTCAGATCTTACAAAGCCATCACAGATAGGAAGAGAAAAGCCATCCTTTTAAGTCTTCCTGAAGATATTTACAGGACGTATTTCTTACAAGAAATATGTGTGTGTGTGTGTGTGTGTGTGTGTATTCCAGCATAACTCCGGAACTCCTGGAGCAATTTCAACCAAACTTGGTACACAGATGACTTACTCTCTGGAAACAAATATTGTGGGGGTAAGACATCTCTAACACCTCCCAGGGTGTGTGTTCTGTTAAGATGCAGCCTGTTGTGCCTTTAAATGGCTTCTACTGTACTACCGTAAAATGGATTCTACTGTAGCAGTGGAGTTGCCACAGTAACGGCTTCACAGTAATCCAAAATGGTGCTCCCTCTGGTAAATCCAACATTAGAAATTACTTTTGGTCCAGACATTTTCCCCCTATAAATAAATATCCAAGCAATGCCGGCTTATCGGCTAGTTTGCAAATAAAAATTGCAATTACATGGACCGGATTTGTCAGGCGCATGAGGCATCTTGAATGAATCCGAATAAGCGGAGGCCACACAATCCACTCAACACGTCAAACCATGACATGTGAATCCAGTTAGGCAGGGTGTTCAGAGCAAGGAGAATCCATCAGCTTTTCATTGGGCTTAATAAAAACACGGTTGAATTACTAGAGTTTCTTCCTCAGAGGATGGACTACATGAGAAGCAGATGTTTGGGAAAACGTAAAGCAGAAGTCTCAAGAACAACCAGGACGGACACAACCTATGCGGAGAATTGCGTCCCGTTTTGGATTCAGAGAGTCGTGTTCTGAGCGCTCCCACAAAATGGATGGGTTGGCCTTTCTCAAAATGGCTGCCCTTCCCACAGTCCATTCCACAACATGCAATCCTAGTCTATGCTAATCTTCCCATCCTAGTCTATGCTAATCTTGCTCATTGAATGTTCTGCATTGGTCCAATATCTGGCTTGCTTTGTCCCTTGTAAGTCGAGAACTACCATATTTTTCTGAGTATAAGACGCACCTTTTTCCTTCAAAAAAGAGGGTGAAAATCTGGGTGCGTATTATACACTGAACACAGCATTTCTGCCTCCTGAATCCCCGCCCCCTTCACCAAAATGGCTGTGCATAGCCTTTAGGAGGCTTGCAAAGTGCTCCTGGGGACTGGGGAGGGCAGATATGAGCTAAAATAGGCNTTGGACACAATAACAGAAAAAAGGACACGACAGCAAAACCAAGGTTTCCCCCTCACAGACTGTACCCATTTCCTTTCCCATGTTAAATGATAAGTGTCCTTATCAAACACCGCTAAATGGAAAAAGTTGTTCTCCTTATCCCCATTGCTGCGCCCTTTAGTGTGGTTTCTTTTTTTTTCTTTTCTCGAACAATAGAAACAGCAACAATTTGGGGCGCTTTCCTCATTTTTCAACTCTAAAGCCCATTGGGGAAAAGGAAAATGCAAATAAGCCATGCTGCCCTTACCATGTACATGGGAGACCCGCATAGCGTCGCCGCCATCATATTATTCTGTAGGTACCGTGCAAATCCAAAATCAGCTGCACCGAGAATCAAATAGGGGAAGGGAGGAAAGACAGGATGGAAAATTACAATTGGTTTTGGCAAAAACCATTAAATATGAAAAGCCGTTTTCCTCCTTCCCTCCCCATCCCTTCTTTCTTTTCTGCTTTTTAAAAAATTGATAAAACCGTAACAGATTTTTATTTTTGGAAGGATTATTGCAATAAGGAAAAGATGGGAGATCAGTCTGGACCAGAGGTGGGCTGTTACCGGTTCGGCCCAGTTTGGTTGAAAACCGGCAGTAACCCAGGCCAGCCATATCCACAAACCAATTTTCCAGTGTCTTCTGCCATTGCCGACATATTTTTAGTCAACTGCGCATGCTTGAGCAATATGCGGCCGGGATGCGAGCGAAGTCTGCGCATAGCAAACCAGTACTAACCGGTACAGGAACCTACCCCTGGCCTGGACCCAAATTAACGCACCCATATTTTTCCATTGGTGATGGCAAACGCAAATCATACTTCCTAGAGATTAGAATTCATTGAAATCCATGGGGTTTACCACTATCACCCCAGAAAAAAACGAACAGGACTAGAAATTTAGATCACATTGTAAACAATCTCTCTCTCTCTCCATCTCTCTTTCCATCCCCCCCTCTCTCAATCTTTTTTCTCTTTCCATCTCCATCTCTTTCCATCTCTCTTCCCATCTATCTCCATCTCTCTTTCCATCTCTCTTCTCTGTTCCCATCTCTCTCCATCTCTCTCTTTCCATCTCTCTCGCTTTACTTCTCTTTTCATCTATCTCCATCTCTCTTCATCTCACTCTCTTTCCATCTCTCTCTTTTCATCTCTCTTCTCTTTTCATCTATCTCCATATCTCTCTTTCCATGTCTCTCTCTCTGTTCCCATCTATCTCCATCTCTCTCTCTTTCCACCACTCTCTCCTTCCATCTTCTCTTCTCTGTTTTCATCTATCTCCATCTCTCTCTCTTTCCATCTCTCCCTCCCTCTCTCTGTTTTTTTTCATAGCATCTTTCATTCCTTTCATCTCCCACTTACCGATCTTGATCCGGATGTTATTCGGGTTCAACTTCTTGCTGCCTGTGAAGGAAAGCAGAATATTCTGGGGCTTGAGATCCCTGTGAATGATGCCTTTGCTATGCAAAACTCTCATGGCGCCTGCAATTTGCTGGAAAAAGAGACGGATTGTGTCTTCGCTGAGAGTTCTCATACCTGTCCAAAGGAAGAGAGGGGGAAACAGTGGTGAAATATGCTGATTATTACTGATTATTGCCAAACAGGTTTTACTGCCAAAGGTTTTATACCTGGACAGGATAAACCAAAGGTACAAGTACAGATTGGGTGAAACTTGGCTCAAAAACAGTAACAGTAACTGAGAGAGGGACCTTGGAGTCTTAGTGGATGATCAGCTGAATATGAGCCAGAAGTGTGCGGCAGCAGCCAAAAAAGCTAACATAATCCCTGGCTGTAAAAACAGAGGCATAGAGCAGAAATCAATTAGCATTGCTTTATAAAACCTTAGTAAGGCCACCCACTGAAATACTGCATCCAGTTTTGCTCTCCACATTACAAAAAAGATGTTGAGACGTTGAGAAAAGTGCAAAGAAGAGCAACTAAGATGATTAAAGGCCTGCAGACTAAAACATATGAAAAATGGTTGGAAGATTGAGGTTTGGCTAGTCTACTAGCCAAACTAGGGGACTAGGGGAGACATGATAGCAGTCTTCCGGTATCTGAGGGGCTGCCACAAAGAAGAGGGAGTCAAACTATTCTCCAAAGCACCAGAGGGCAGGACAAGAAACAATGGATGGAAACTAATGAAGGAGAGAAGCAATCTAGAATTAAGGAGAAACTTTCTGATAGTGGAAACAATTAACCAGCTTGTCTCCAGAAATCGTGGGTGCTCCATCACTGGAGGTTTTTAGGAAGAGACTGGACAGCCACTTGTCTGAAATGAGATAGGGTCTCCTGCTTGAGTAAGGGGTTGGACTAGAAGACCTCCAAGGTCCCTTCCAGCTCTTATTCTGATTAGATTCCAACAGTGAGAAGCTGTCAACAATGAAACCAGTGAGCTACCTTCTTCCTCTAACGTTAAATTTTACGTGGTGTAAGAACCAACATCTGGATTAACACAACCTGTTCCTTGATACAGGTACTCCTTGACTTACGAGCACAACTAAGCTCCACATTTCTGTTGCTAAGTGAGTTTTACCCCTTTTTTTTTTACCTTTCTACATCTCTTGTTTTTGCCTGTTGACATGGTGCAAGATTAAACCCCAAAAAACAACAACACCTGGATTAACACACAATGCGTCTCAACCCAGGCCAGGACGAGCCAGGCAAGGATGATTAATCAACACAACGACATTGCTTTCATCTTTTTGTCAGCATGTTTTTAAAAGCTTTTTATTTTGAAAGGATGGTGGCCACGGAGGACTTGAATGCATTAAGTTGATGAGAATTACAAAGAGCTTAAGAAATGTATCAAAAGGGCCAGGTCTCTGTCTGGAGATCGTGAAGACTTCAAAAGTCTCTTTGAAAAGTTTTTTTTATGTATGTGGCTGGACAAACACACAGCCAACTATATCAAAAATGTCTAGTGAGGTTTTTTTATTCTAATCAGATGGCTGGCTTATACTAGAGTTTGAACAAAAACATATTTCTAAATATCATGAATTGGGAATGAACTCCAGTCATTCTGTCTTAAATATTCCAGCATGAGAGAGCGCCCATTCAAATACCGCATTTTTCAGAGCATAAGACGCACCAGGCTGAAAATCTGGGCGCGTCTTATACACTGAATACAGCATTTTTTGCCTCCCAAAACCCCGCCCCCTTCACCAAAATGGCTGTGCATAGCTTTTAGGAGGCTTCCAGAGCACTCCTGGGGGCTGGGGAGGACAAAAATGAGCGAAAAATGAGCCTTTTTTTGCTCAATTTTGCTCCCCCCCCCCAGGAGCACTCTATAAGCTACCTAAAAGTTATGCATGCCCTTTTTTGACAAAAAACAGGCATGTTTTGGCAAAAAATGGGCCCATTTTTGCTCGTTTTGGGGGGGCACACCCCAGGAGCACTCTAAAAGCCTCCTAAAAGCTATTCATGCCCTTTTTTGGAAGAAAAAAAAAAACGGGGCCATTTTCACACAAAAAAACGGGCCATTTTTGGGAGGTCTGCAGACTGCAAAAACTTTTTTTTTTAATTTGCCTCTTCAAAATCTTGGTGCGTCTTAAACTCCAACAAATATGGTAATTATGCCCCTTTTTCCTGGCTTGTTCATTTCAGATATTTCTTGATTAATCCGCTGCTCAAAGTGTTTAGATAGAGCAGGGGTTGGCAACCTTAAACACTCAATGAGCCACAAAGGTCCTAACCAGAAGCCAATTCAATTCTGAAGCCAACCGGAAGTCCGGTTCCCCCACCATAGAGTCTCCTCCTAGCGCGGCGTCCTTTTTCCTCTACCTGTCCTAACTGAAAGCCCTATCTATTATGGAACCGACTGGCAACAGGGAGCCACAGCAGAGGG